TTTTTTTTTTTTTTTTAACTTTTTATTATGATCAGTTTTCCATTCAACAATTCCTACACATTTTGCTTTTGATTACAATTCCTTCACAGGTCATTGATTACAATTTTCATAATGTAATATCACTTAGTCCCTTTCCGCCTTGTGTTTCCCATTTCCTTTATTCCTCCTTTCCTCACTCGTCTGAATTTTGCCCTTGTCCTTTTTATCTCAAAAGGTTGATAATTCTAAGGTCTTAGGCTGGGTTTTCTAGAGAAGCAAAACCAGTGAAACTTACATATGTTAAGAGAGGTTTATATCAACTCACCTCTCACAACTATAGAGGTGAGAGTCCCAAGTCTGGGTTAGAAGAACCAAGATCAGCAGGTCCAGCAGGCAGACAGGTTCGGCAAGCAGGCAGGCTGCTGATGTCTCCCCAGGACCAGCAGGTAATAGAGCAGGTCACTGGCTCAAATCCAAAGAACCAGAAGTTGAAGGATGAGTCAGATGCAAGATCCAGACCCAGCAGAAAGTAAACGAGATTTGCCTGAGAGTCTAGCATATTGGAAGCAGATCACACCCCCAAGGAGACATCTTCATAGCCAAACATCATAGAGTCCATTACGTTGTATTAGATCTCACTATGGGGATAACTACATCTCAACTGCCAAACCACCAAGAATCCTCGCTCAGTCAGTTTGACACAAATCCTTGACTATCACAGAGCACCTCACTATTGTAGACATGTCTGTTATTTGGGGGTGAATTCAGCTCCAGACCTGAAGTTTGACCAAGGACCGTAGTCTTGGTGATTTTCAAATCATTTTCTTTCGATGGTGGCTTTCATTTACTGGAATATTTTTTATCATAAAGCAGTACCTGGTCATATAATGGATAAAACATAGAATTACATGAATAGATAAAATATAGAATTATATAAAATTGTGTGCTTTATGAGTGCAATGTATAACAACTGCAAAAGCTTACCTTTCTTGAGGTAGTTCTTACTGGCAGTTTGCACATCTAGACAGCTAGACTTCTATGCAAATAAAAAATGTATAGTTTTTAAATAGAAATAAGATGATGCTTCCTACGTATTCCGCTACTGGCTCTCTTCTACCGTGGTGTTGTCTCTGCTACCTGAGACTTTACAGTGTTTCCTGTCATCACCGTACCCCTCCTGGGTACTTTCAGGGCAAGCGGTTGATGAGAAACTCCCCTTTAGCAATGTACTGCTTGTAAAGCAGGACTACTAGGACCTGTCTCCTAGGAGCTATCATTCATCAGCTGTGCAGGGAGCCATCACTGAGCCAGGTGTTGCATGTGGTGGTGAGCAGGGCCTGTGGAGCCCTTCCTCAGTGCCGGCAACCTAGTGGAGGTGGCCCACTGCAGAAAGACTGCGTTGCTGCAGTGGAGTGCTGTTCTCAGAGACATGCAACCTATTCAGGGACCCTCTCTGAGTCAGGTCAGGAAGGTCTCCCTGAAGAGGTCATTCTTCTGAGGAATGAGTTGCCAAGGTTGAAAGGGGGAAAGCGCCAAATACTCCATTTTAGGAGCATTGAGATGTGATGGGAGAGGACCTTTGAGAGGGGTTCTCAGAAGATGGGTTCTCAGCCCTCTCTCCTCTGGTCTCTAAGTTTATAAAGGTATGTTTTATTTAGTTATATCTTACATTCTGTCATACTGGCTCAAACTCCTTAAAGATAAGTTGTATTGGAAGGAAATATTAGTTTTAACAAATAGGGTAAAGCAAATAAAAATATTTCTTACTGTTGATATATATTTTAGTCAACATGTTGTGAACACCACAGTTTTTGTTTTTGTAAGCATTCGTCTTTTATTTATTTTTAAGTATTTTAGGATTTTCAAATTAATGAAATACTCATATGTGTGATATAAATTTGAACATCTGTGTCTCTAAACTGCATTCCTGTAGAAGAACTGCTAGGTTTGTTGAGTAGTCTTACAGGCTTTTTCTGTACATACTTGTAATGTGTTGTTGTTGTTAAGTGTTGTCCAGTCAGTTCCAACTCCTAGTGACCCAATATAGGATTTCTGAGGAGTGATTGGTGGGTATGAACCGGTGTTAATCCTACAGCATCACACCAGGATGCTACATACTCTAACATGTACATGCACAGACGCACATGCATTTTTTTTTTTAAAGCAGTTATGGGGTCATACTTTATGTGGTTGTTCTGCTGATTGTTTTTCTACTAAGTAACCTCTCAGGATTGTTCTTCAAGGATTTTCTCTGCATATTAGGATGTAGGCATGTATAGATGTAGACCCAAAGTGGCATATTATATGCATGGTTCTACCAATTGCTTTTTCAAATGATCATCTTAGAGACATTTAGCTCTACCTCTTTCTGTTAGTGGCTGCATTCAGTCTGCAGTTTGCCCACTGTGTTCCAGGCCCATGATGGAGGGTCTGTGGTTTACTTAGTCATGTCTCTGCTGATCATTTTCTACGTTTTACTGTAATAAGTGAGGATGCAGTAAATATATCCTTGAGCCTGTGCTTTTTGCCTATGCTGGGTTTTCTAAAGGAAGATCCCCAACAGATGGATTAATACAGTGACTGCAACAATGGGCTCAAGTCAAGTGAAGTAATAATTGTGAGGCTGGCACAGGACTGAGCAGTGTTTAGTTCCGTTGTATGTAGAGTTGCTATGAGTTGGAGCTGATTTGGTTGCACCTGACAAGAGCATTAAATTTTCTAGATTCCTAGTATATGGACCATGTCAGAGACACTTGGATTTTAAATTTTGATGAATACCAGCAAATTCTTTTTTAGAGGTAGTTCCAAATTATTTTCCTACCGGCAACATGAAATTATTTGTTAACCACGCTTGTTCCATTCCTGGGGCATATCATTTTAATGATTTTTGTTCATCAGACTACTCTATAAATTTAGTCTTGCAAGGTGAAGAAGGTGCTTGCTGCTTTCTTGGCCTGTCCAAATATCAGGCTGGCTAACTTCTTGAATCTCTTGGAGAAACAGAGACTTTCCTTAAGTGGGAATCTTGGTGCTTCCTCCCCAGTCCCCACTCCCAAGTCTGTGTGTTTACTTGGAAGCTTGATGGGATCTGGTGGGACCCTTATGCCCCCCGGGCTTGGCTATAGCCACCCTAATACTTCTGTGATCACTCGCACTGCCTTGTCCCATTGTGTCTCATGTTTCATGTCATTTTTTTTATAGGTAGCAACTGGAAAGTGGAAGCAGATAAGTAAATACTGCCCCCTCGATCTCTACTCAGGGTAAGAAAATGCTGCTTGTCTGACTCCTTGTGCGAGGCTCTCTAGTGATGGGGGTGATAGTGTGTGAAGGCCCCTTGCAGGTCTTTCCACCAGTGTCTCAGATAGTCCAGGCTCTGCTTTCATGCTCACAGACTGAGGCCATTGCCAACTGACTGGTTTTCTCCTTGAAATCCAAATCATGACTGGATTTGTCTTCTGGTAATACCCCAAACCAGTTGGATCTAAGCCCTTGCCCTTTTCCCATCTGGAACATCAGAATTCAGTTGTTTAAGCCTTTGCTCTCTCACACCTCTGGATAGGTGAAAACTCCCGCAGTAATGTTAGCCTGGCTGCAGGTGGCTCCTGTTGCCTTGGGCAAGTGTCTCTTCAGGCTCACATGCAGCAGCCAGTGTCCAGTGGCTGAGCAAAGTCCCAGAGACCCTTCCACAGACCTCCCTGACGTCCTTAGTGCACTTCCTCTAAACACACAGCAGAAATCTTCAAAGGACGATTTGAACTGCTTTTGAATTATATCAATAATACTTTCCCCTTTTAGAAATAAACAAAGAATGCACTTTGCCTTGAAAAGTTTGTTACAGGAAGCACAGAACAACTTAAAGATATTCAAGGTAAGAGTTGCTTCTATTTTATGGCAGTTTCTTGGGGGTGGAGTCCAGTGGATACCTTTGACCTTGTCCTAGGCATGGACATGTCCAGGTTCCTGCATCCTCAAGTCTGACAAGTCACCTGTGGCCTCGGGGATGATCAGGTGGACAGAGCTGTCTTAGGGATGGCTGAGGCTGTCTTAAGCCTCAATGCAGTGGCCCAGTGCTCTGCCAGCCCTGCTAATTATTGTTAGTCCAGAGCTTTGTACTTGAATCCTGCACCTCTCTCTCCTGAGAGTCCTTTTCCAGGGTGTGCACAGGTGTTTCTGCCATTGGAGCCAGTACTGGGGCTTATAGACCTGGTACCCTGGTGTGGGATTCTTGGTGAAACTCCATGGCCCTGTGTCCTCCAGGTAGAATGGTGCTCTCCAACCTGGACAAAGGGCAGCTATGTCCAGCTTCTCTCTGTCATTCTTCCTGACCAGTGTAGGTGAAATGGGCATAAGGGGATCTTGGAGGAGGGGTGGGGCAAGGTCAAGGAGGGAAAGAAGAGGGCAGCAGAGCATCCAGAGTGGGAATTAGGGCATCCACATAGAGAGGGAGTACAAAGTAAAGGAGTGAGAGCAAGGGGTGAGAAGGCGAGGGAATGAAAGTAAGAGGTAGAGGGGAGCAGGTGTGCGGAGAGGGTTGGAGGCTGCACAAGGCCTGGAGATGACTGTGGCTCTGGCTCAGCCTAAGAGAGCCCACAGTGGGTGCATGTTCCCTCGATTTACCATCTCCTTGCCTCCTCTTCATCAACTCCACTTATGTCTACAATGACATGAAGCATAAGTGATCATTTGTGAAAGGTTGAGGCTTCCTCCAGTGGTGGAGGTCCTCAGAGACAAGCCCATTCTGGAGTACGAATTGGGGAGGGCTGTTGCCTGCTCCTGTTGCCATTGAGGTCCCAGAGCCATCTGCAGAAACAGGACTGTCACATGGGATCCACCTTTTAACGCCATTGCTATAAGTCTGGCATGATTAATGTTGTAGAGGAGATTTTGTCCTTCTATTACTTGAAGGGTGCTCTGATCCAGAGTTCTGCTTAGAGATTAAAAGTAGGAGTGGCGGCCAGTCCCTGATTGCCTTCATCCTCGTTTTCTTAGAAACCCTGGGTCCTGATCCTGGGTTAAGTGGGGTGATGGCAGATCCTGAATTACCTACCCCTTGGTCTTGCCCTGGAACCTGGTCATGGAGGGGTGGCCATTCTCCTTTGAGAGAGAGAATGGCTTTGAAGAGCCCAACTTGTCAGCTAAGTACAAAACTCCAAGCTAGACAAACTTTCCTGTAAAGGTTCAGAGCCTACACAGCATTTTGCTCTTGGTGTTTTTGTTTTCACTTGTGACTTGAGTGAAGCTTTACAGAACAGAGCATTCAACAATTCATACACTTCGTCATATCTTTACAGTGATTGCATCCCTTCCATATACCATCAATTAACAGTATTTGCCTATATTCCCTTTGTCTTCCACTACCTTCATTTTTCCTATGACAACCTCTTCTTGCTGTATTGTCTTCCCATCCCTCAAATTAGCATATGTTGACCCTTTACCAAGTGAATAATTTTCTCTCCCTTTCTACTCCTGGTAATCATCAGTGGACTGTTTTGTGTTTTATTTAGCAAGATAACCTTTTCATTTTGTAACAGTGGTCTCATACAATGTTTGTCCTTTAGTGGTTGACTAATTTCACTCAGTATCATGTCCTTCAGGTTCATCCATGTTAATGAGGTCTTTTACAGATTTGTCATTGTTCTTCAGTGTTGCATAATATTCCATTGTGTGTATGTACCGAAGTTTGTATCCATTCTGCTACTCTTTGTCTCTTGACTGGTGCATTTAATCCATTCACAATTTATGTTAATTGTCGATAGGTGTGAATTGATTGCTGTCATTTTTGCTGTGTGTGTGTTGCTTTGTTTTGTATTGTTGCTGGTTTCATTGTTTCACATAAATTTCTGTGCTGAGATTGTTTTGTTTGTGGGTTTTCTTTTCATTTCCTTAATTGCTGTTATTTTAATGTTTACTAAATCTTTCTGATTTTCCTCTTTTTTATTTTGATGTAAAGGTATATTAATTTTCTATGAGGTTATCCTATAATTTATTAATTTTCTCCATGTTTAAAACTCTGTTACCTCCCCCCCCACCCCGTCGCAAAAAAAGTCTGTTTTATCTTGAAATCTACTTGATACCTCACCATTTAGAAATTCTGTATCTACACTGTTTCCTCTTTGTGCTTTGTAGTTGACTTCGTTGTAAACGGTATCTCTTGTTCCCTGTTTTCAGTCTTGTAGGTTTGTTTTGCTTTAAATACTGCAATATACGGATTGAGTTCTGGGTGGTATTCTCATGTATGTTAATCTCAGGTTGTTGTCTTCTGTTGTTGGTTCTCGTGCAAAACACCCCTTAGTATTTTTCTATAGTTGGTCTGAATATTACAAATTCCTTAAATTTCTGTTTATCTGAAAATGTCCTAGATTCACTGTCTCATTTTAAGGACAGCTTTGCTGGGTATATGGTTATTTGTTAGCAACTTTTTTCTTCCAGAGTTTTGTGTATGTCATCCCATTGCCTTCTTGTCTGCCTGCTTTCTGCAGAGAAATCAGAGTTTAATCTTAGTGGTTCTCCTTAATAGTTAACGTTTCATTTTTCCTGAGCTGCTCTCAGAATTTTTCCTTGTCTTTGATTTTTTTAATTTAATTATGCTATGTCTCTGTGATTTTCTTTTGGGGTCTGTCTTGTTTGGAGTTTATTCAGCTTCTTGAATGGTTACCTTCTCGTCTTTCATTATGTTAGGGACTCTAATTCTTTTTCAGATTGTTCTTCTAGTTTACTAGTATTGAGATGTTTACCTTCAAGGTCACTAGTTGGGCTTCCTTTGATTCAAATCTGTTTGTTCCCTTGCTCTTCCCATGTAGTGTCCATTTTTGTGATCTTATCATTAATTTTCTGAAGTTCTATGTGCAAATTTTATGTTGTTTCAGAATTTGCATTTATGTTGTCTATTCTTATATAGTGTTTACCTAAATTCTTCTAAAGTTTTTTTCTGTGTTGTTCTTGTTTTCCTTGATCTTTCTGTCAATTTTTTTAAGGTATCTAAGTATCAAGCTCTGGTAGTGTAGTGGTTATGAATCGGGCTGCGAACCTTAAGGTCAGCGGTTCGAAACTACCAGCCGCTCCGCGGGAGAAAGATGAAGCTTTCTACTCCCGTAAGGATTTACACCCTCGGAAACCCTGTACAGGGTCGCTATGGGTCAGAACCGACTTGATGGCACTTAACAACAACAACAACAACAAGTATCATTTAAAAAATCATTTCTTGGACATTTCATTACCTTTTCTTTCTCAGAAACATTTTCTGCCTCTGCATCTGGTTCATGTGTTGGAGCCACTCTCTCTTATTTCTTCATGTGAGCTAAAATCTTCTGTTGTCTCCAAGACATTGTGGTGTCATTGTGCTTATATTTAATTGATGGTTTTATTTTAGTGTGTTCTTAGGCTCTCACCAGCTGTCTCCTGGTGAGTTTGATTAGAGAATGGAAATATATGCATCATTTTCTGTTAGCTGTTCATACAGCTCAGTTTAGGATGGGTTTGACTGTGTTGTTGAGCAGGTGGTATAGGAGCTGGTAGTGGGTGGAGATACAAAGGATACAGTTGTGACTGAGCTGTGTGGGCATAGTTGCTCTCTTCTGTCAGGTAGAGCAAGTGGAGAAAACACACAGGAAAACAAAACAGAACAAACAGACAAGCAAACAACCGTGAAAACAGAACATAACAAAGGAGATACAAATGGGCAGCAATAAGAGAAAAACGGATATAATAACTAAAAAGAGAAAAGAGGGACAGAAAAATAGAGCTGTAAGAGAAAAAATAAAAGGAAGAGAAAAAAGCAGAGGGACGATGAAAAGAAAAAGACTAGAAAGTAGTAAAGAAAAATCAAAAGGAAAAGGAGATAAGGTTGGAAATGAGAAACAGAAGAAAAGAGAAAAAAACAAAAGTGGAGATTAAAAGGGTAAACATCACAAGAAGGGAAAGAGAGGAAGGAGGAGAAGAAAGAATAAACAAACCAAAGCAATGATAAAACAAAAGGAAAAACAAACAAAAAACCAGTACAGATGTTGGATCCAGAGAGGTAAAAACTCTTTGGGTAGGGGAGGGATGTGACATGTTTTCCTGCCCTAGATGGAGTGTCTATAGGCCTAGGTGTTATCTGTATTTAGGGCACCCAGTCTGGAAGTCCTGGTGTGGCGCTGTGAGTTAATGCACTAGACTGCAAAGCCGTTTAAACCGCAAGGTCGGCAGTTCAAGCTCACCAGCTGCTCCTCAGAGACCCTATACAGGGTCGCTATGGGTCGGAACTGACTCAATGGCACGTCACAACAATCTGGAAGTAGAGTCCTGGTGTGGCGCTGTGGGTTAATGCACTGGACTGCAAAGTCTGCTTGAACCACAAGATCAGCGGTTCAAGCTCACAAGCTGCTCCTCAGAAACCCCTATCCAGGGTCCCTATGGGTCGGAACTGACTCGATAGCACCTAACAACAACAATCTGGAAGTAGATTGACTAAGTGAAGTCATTGTTCGAGTGAGATAGGCAGCTTAGCCCTGAGACCCCTGAAATAGAGCACAGCAGGAACACCCTGGACTCACCCCAATGGTGGGGAACAGTTGTCCTGATGGCACTAAGCAGTCTCTTTCATGACACTGCTGTGTCATGGTGGGCTCCCCGCTGGGAACCACCATTCTCACACAGCTGTCAGTCTGCTCTGTGTGAGGTTCAGCTTTTTACTTCCCCTACCTGCCAGGCTCTGAGGGGTCACTCAGTGTGCTCTGTGTCCTCCATGGGGCTAGGCTCACTACTTCCAGCCATACTTTGTTGTGGACCCAGGGGGCTGCTGCCATGCCCGCCCCCCTATCCCCAGCTTTGCCATGCTACTGTCCCAGGTGCTCTGCCTCAGGAGGACTTGCTTTTCCTTCGTTTGCTTTCAAATAATCCTCATGCTTTTCTTGATGATCTCCCTGGTCTCCTCTGAGCTGTAGCCAGTGCTTGTGCTGGTTGTGTCCCCTCTCATAGGGACTCTCAGGGCTGCTGAATCCCAGGCCATGATCAGGGACAGTGCTTTCTCCATACTTCCTGTTGGAGTGGATTGATCCATATTGTCTACTGCTGCAGTATAAATAATCCCAAGTTTAGCAGCTTCAAACAACAAATATTTACTTGCCATTTGTATAGCCAGGCTTAGGAACTGCTTGGCTGGTTGAAGTCCAGGGACTCGTGACACCACTTCCATTTGGAGGCTCCCAAACAAAGAGGCTGCTCAGTGTGGGAATTCTCAGCAGAGGCACAGCACAGCCAAGATGGAGCAGTGTCTTAGATGACTTAGTCTGGTGACCTACATGCTGTTCCTTCCGCCGTCTGATGTGGGTTCTTAGACAAGCCTGGTACTGTGTGGAGGGGACTAAAGCTGTGACAAGTGACCTCCCTCACTCTGGATTCTCGACCCAGCACTGTTGGAGTACCATTTGGCTGTGGGGGGCAGCTTGACCCAGCCTGATGGCAAGAGGAGAGGCCTCTGGAGCCCCTTTGTGCATGTTGGAGGGGCTGGCTCGGGCAGAAATCTGTGTGGCATTGAGTCCAGAGTCTCCATTGGTGAATCACCACAAGGTGGCACAGAGAAGAGTGCTTTCTCAGGATAAGAACGCTCACCCTTGCCCTGGCTTAACCTGTATTTTACTTGTGCTATTAAATAACCAGCTTGGCTGTTTTGTGTGATGGTTGCTTGTGTGCACTGAGGATCTGCTTACCATTTCAGAAATGAGAGAAATGTATTAATGTATTGCAGGCCAGGGTGCACATCTGCACATCTTGAGAACTTTTCTCCTGCTGTACATCCTAAAGGAGTTGTCTCTTGGCCTTACTCCTGGACAGTTCTCCCCGTAGAGGCCAGGAGTGGAAGGGTGAAAGCTCCATGCGGGGCCATACTGAAAATGCACTGTGGGTCACACCTGCTGGTGCAGAGATGAAAGTGCCTCTCTTGGTGCCTTTAGGAGCTGACATTTCCCTGTCTCTTTTCCCCCAACTGAAGAATGGTGAATTAATCTATGGAGGCAAAGAAGCGCGGGACTGTGTGGCTGACTGGAGCGAACTTGCGCACCATCTGAAGCCTTTCTTCTTCCCTTCCAACGGGCTGGCCAGCGGGCCACACTGCACCAGGGCTGTGATCCAGGAGCTGGTTCATGTCCTCACACAGGTGCTACTGAGTGGCACCGACAAGAACCGACCAAGTGTCTGGAGAGCTATGCCCACCACACAGGGCCCACAAGCCTGCGAAGCCAGCCCCTTCAGCAGGCAGCTGCGCTTTCAAGGTAGGCCCCATCTCTGAGTGGATGGTCGTGGGGTGGTGGCGGCATTGAGAGTGAGTTCTTCAATGCTCTAGGGAGGGGGTGCTGGCCCTAGGTCCCAGTGAGTCTCCACAGAACTTGTCCCAAGTCTGATGTGTTTTTTTCAGAGCAGCCTCTTTGCCACTTGTGTCCACATTGGGCTGCTTCCTCCTTGCTGACTTTGATCTGGTTTATAAATTGCAGGATGTATTTGGCACCATGGGGTAAGCACTGGACTGCTAACCGCAAGGTTGGTTGTTTAAACCCACTAGCTAGTTGCTCCTTGGAAACCCTATTCAGGGTTGCTATGAGTCAGAACTGACTTGACGGCACTTAACAGCAACATATATATCTATATAGTCTCTATATATTTATCAGAGTACTGGTGTGGCGTTGTAGGCTAAGCACTGGACTGCTAACTGCAATATCTGTGGTTCAAATCCACAAGCCACTCCTCAGAAACCCTATACAGCAGCGTCAGTGTGTGGCTTTTATCCCAGTGGGGCAGCTGTCACTTGGAGTCTAGCTGTGTAGCTGGATGGGCCAGCTTAAGTTTTTCCTTTGAACATTGTTGGCTCCTTGTTTGTTCTTTTTAACATCTGTCATTAGGCACTACAACTTAACATTTAGGAAGTGAGAGCCATAGCTATTTACTTATTCCTTTGGACCAACTGGGAAGACTTATGGTTCCGATTTTGTGCTAAAGATACCTGTGGTCTTGAGCCTCATCTGAGCCTGGATCTGAAGTTGAAGCATCCCGTCCACAAAAGCCTGTCCTGCATGGTCACGCCTGCCTGTGGCAGCATCTGGCATTCAGGTGTCCACTCTCTTCTTAGACATTCTGCTCACACCTTCCCTGTCCCCCTACTTCGTGCCAATTTTTCTTATCACAAGTGAATGTTTTTCGCCTTTTTACAAAAATGACACATGATCATTTCCCCACAATTTGCTAAGATCGTACCTATATTCTGGGAGCAAAATGTTTTTAATTGATAAGCGTTTCTCTGGAAGGACCTGTAAGACCCTGGTTTCTCTGCAGGTCTTTGGTGGGGGGCCTTTTCCATGAGCATGCGGCTCAGACCCATGTAAATTCTTAGGAAACCCTGGGTTCTCACTAGTGAGTAAGCACTACCACCCCCTGGTGGATTGCACCTCACAGCCCTTGTCTAGGCAAGAATCCAGGAGCAACCATGCAGCAGGTGGGCAGTTTGTCAAACAAGGTCACGTTATATTAGTTAAAACAGACCTTTTCCACTTCAAGTCACATAAATCTATATTGGTGGATGTCGTATTTCCAACTTTATTCATCTTGAAGTAGTCCACTGTGCAAAGAATGTCCTGTAGGTCTAGCACTCTCTGTGTGATTACACACAGCTCTTACTCCCCTTTTGTTCTGGGACTTGAGGGACTGAGAACACTTTGCTGTGGGGTGGGGGTGGGGGGCTCAGATGAGCCCGGGGTAGGGCCTGGTCAGCCAGAGCTGTCTGAGTTTGCATTTGGTGTGGACAGCTTGGTGGTTTCCCTAAAATTGTTGTTGTTGTTGTTAAGTGCCTTCGAGTCGGAGCCGACACCTAACAATTATTGCCTGGAGTTCGTTAGTGCCCTCACAATCCTCAAAGAGTGCCTTGTACATATTAGGTGTTCCAGGTCTGCATGTTGAGTCACATTCATTTCCATATTTGTGAGTACTGGGGCAGGTCCTTGGCAAGGGTTTAATGTTAGAGGCACTGAACACCTGTAACCTGTAGCACAGCATTATTGGGCCATGGTCCATGCTTCCACCAGCCTGGTGCCCAGCACTCCTATCAGTCTGAGTTTGTGCTGTGGACTCTGCATGTGTGGTGTGCGGGGTATTATCCTGTGGCAGTGTTAATTTGCAAATTTGGGATGTCATCTTCGTCATGTGAAGCTCTGTGCATTGATTTCTGCAAACAGAATCATCTCTCTTTTACTTTCTCTCTCTCTTTTGCTTTTTTTGTGTGACTTTGCTGTTAAGTGCCAAGGAGTCTATTTTGATTCATTGTGACCCTATATAGACTGTCCAAGGCTTTATATCTTTTGCGGTAGCAGACAAATTTATTCTTTTAGAGTTTGAACTGCTAGAGTCTAAATTCAGAGTGCCGGCTCTGGGGAAATAATTAGTCTTCTTTCAGCATCTGTAGGCCCAGCATTCCTTAGAGATCTCTGTGTGTCTTGGTATTGATCTTCTCCTGGATGTAAGAGCTTTACAGTGCAGAGACCCCACGTCCACTCCTGGCTCTTTTTGCTGGTAGTAGGTCCCGTGGGCCATCTCTCAACATAAATCACAGGTGATTTGGGAGCTGGTGTGATGAATCTAAAAGGCAGTCTGAACAGGACCAGCTGATTGGGAGCTTCTGGCCTTGGATTTCACGTAGCCCCATCTGTCTGTGGGCCTCCCTGCAGCACTCAGTCACCGTGGGTGCTCAGGTAACCCCTGCAGCAGGTACTTGAAGGGTGGCTGTGCTCTGTCTTCATCATCTGGGGCATCCAGTGCTAATCCTGAGGGCAAGTTGGAGCCTGGGCCTCTGCTGCTTTGCCGCTGCCTCCCTTGGAGCACAGTTTTAATCTTTACTCTTGTTTTCTCCTGATGTTCTTGATAGGAAAAAACACCCCAGAGCACTCAGGGTTACCTAAGGGCTGTCTTCTGTACAAGACCCTCCAAGTGCAGATGTTGGACATGCTGGACATCGAGGGCCTCTACCCTCTGTACAGCCGGGTTGAACGCTACCTGCAGGAGTTTCCTGAGCAGAGGTAAGTCACCAAGCAGCTCTGAGAGTGGAATTGTGGGAGGAGATTGACAGTCAGCTTCCACCTCTGAGGTGTCCTACTGTGTCAGAGGAGAAGAAACAGGACATGTCCTCCTCGAAGGCTCCCTGTTCCTTGGGTCTGGTCCTGAATCTTAACTGGGTGTCACCATCACATTCGCAATTAATCCATTTCTAGAAAAGAAAGCACATATGTTTCCCGTGTCCCTCACTTGATTAACTCCTACCTCCCTGTAGAGGGCAGTGTTGCTCCACATACGAGAGCTGCTTGTGGCCTGAGGTTTCTGAGGTTGAAATGTTAGTGAGTGTTTACAGAGAGCCGAGCCCCTCATGAGCTGAGCTTCTGGTCTTGGGGCTTGTCTTGAATTTGAGATTACTGAGGGGTGGTGTATGCTAGGGGACATTTCTAACCCAGGAATGCTCAACTTCTAGGCCTCCTGAAGTTGCTCGTTTTGCTATGTTCTAGTTAAAACTTTTATTCTTTATCACAACTTCACTTTTAGGAAGGGGTTGTTGTGTGTTGTAAAGTCAATTCCAACTCATAGCAATCCTTTATGACAGAGGAAAACGGTCCCATAAAGTTTACTAGACTAATCTTTACTGAAGCAGACTGCCACTTTTTTTTTCCCTTGGAGCAGTGGGTGGATTTGAACTGCTGACCTTTTGATCAGCAGCTGAATGCTTAATTTAACCTTGCTGTATCACCGGGGTTCTTTGATGGGTACATTAAGTGTTCTTTCAAATTAAATGTATGGGTTTTAAATTAAACTTAAAGTTTAAGAAACCATTTTCAGGCATCTTTGTTGTCTTGTTTTCCCCTGTGTGTGGTTTTTGTGTGTGCTTTACTCATTCAGAAAAACATTACAAATAGATGGGCCTTACAATGAAGCATTTTATCAGAAGTTGCTTGATCATTCTACTGAAGATGATGGGACACTGGCCTATGCGTTAACAAAGGTAGGGCTTTTGTTAACTCTCCTGGACCACACTGGACTCTGGGCACCTGGAACTCTTAAACTTGGGGTTTCTCAGTGCCTACTCCTTACTGTTAGTATAGAAAATTGGAGATATAAAAAAAAAGTGACTAAGTCTGGAAAAGCTGAATACTATTTCATTCCAATTCTGTGACATTCTGGAAAATGCAAAACTAGAGAGACTGTGAAACAATCAATGGTTGCCTCTGGTTCAGGGAGGGGAGAGTAGGTGGAGCACAGACTTCTTTTTAAAAATAAAAAGTTTATTTATTCCCTTTTTGAGAAGGGTGGGGTAGGGGTAAGGAGTTAGGCTTAGGACTATGATGAGGTCTAGGGTAAGCCTAGGACTTCATTTAGTGTTAGGGTTATGGGCTAGGGTTAGAAGTAAGACTTGATCTAGTTTTTAGGGTTACAGTCAGGTTTATTTATTTTTTTAAATTTGTATTACTTGAATCTACTTGATTTCTTCTTCATTTGGAAGTTCTTTTTGTTGTTGTTGTTGCTACTGGTATCTCTGGTTCCCTATTTTCAGTTTTGCAATTTTGTTTTGCTTTGAAGTTTTAGGTCTGGGTTGAGTTCTTGGTGATACTGTCATGTAGGTTAGCCTAAGGTTGTTGTCTCATGCTGTTAGTTCTATGTTCAAAGAACTCCCTTTAGTATTTTTTGTAAGGTTGTTATGGTTTTTGCAAGTTCTTTTTATTTGGAAATGACCTTATTTGATAGACTTTTTGCTGGCTACGTGAGTTTTGTTTGGTAATTTTTTTCTGTCAGAGTTTTGTATATGTTATCCCATTGCCTTCTTCCTGTTTTCTATGAAAAATCAGAGTTTAGTCTTATGAATTCTCCTTTGTAGGTAACTTTTAGTTTTTCCTGAGCTGCTTTCAGAATTCTTTCCTTGACTTTGGTTTTAAAAAGTTTGATTGTAATATGTATTAGTGATTTTCTTTGTCTATTTGCCCTGTTTGGAGTTCGTTTAACTTCCTATGTTTCATGGTGTTAGGAAACTTTTCTTCTAACAACTCCTGACCAGTTTTCTCTGTTTTTGTTTGTTTGTTTCTTCCTGTTCTGGAATTCCAGTTGCCTGTAAATTATTCCTCTTTATAGTGTCCCACTTAAATCTTAGGCTTCCATTGGCATTTTAAATTATTTTTTTGATTGTTCCTCTGTTGCTGTTAAGAACCTTCAAGTTGGTCATGACTCATAGCGAACCTGTATAGGATTTCCAAATGTAAGTGTTTGTGGGAGCAGAAAGCTTCACCTTTGTCTTGCGGAGCAGCTGGTAGCTCGAACCACTGACCTTTTTTCCAATCCAGTGCTTATTCTCTAGCAAATAAATATTTAGAGATTTTTTTTCAAGCTCAGTAATTCAGCCTTCCATTGATTCAATTCTCCTTTTTTGTACTTTCAGTATACTATCATTTGTTTTTGAAGTCTTCGTTATCTAACCTATTTTCTGGCTCTTTAAATTGCTGTTGTATGACTTTCAATTTCATATTTCTTTTGTCACTTGTTCTTGCAGTGTTTTCCTTGCTTTCCTTGATCTTTCTCTCAATTCGTTGACGGTGCCTAAATAGCATTATTTTAAATTTCTTATCAAGTAGTTCTGATACCCTTTCTGTTATTATGCTTTCTGATTACATCTTTTGATCACTTGTTTGAGGCACCCTGTCCTGTTTCTTTGTGTAAGCTAAAGTTGTCTGTTTTCTCTGAGACATTGTGGTTATGTTGTATTAGTTTTAACTGGTGATGTGTGTTGTTGGTATATTCTTAGGCACTCGACACCTGTGTCTTTGTGGGTGTGAGAGAGACTGGAAGTGTGGACCCAATTCTCTGCTGTTTATGCAGAATAGTTCAGGGCGAGTTCAAACACCTACAAAAGCAGTGGGGGTACTCGTAGCATCCAACCCCCAGCAGAGTAGAGTGTGTGAAGGAAAGTGTGCCACTGGATGCTCAGTTGGCGAGGGCAGGGAAAGCCACACCCGGACTGCTAGGAGGGCATGGGACAAGGGAGCACAGTGAAACTATTCTGTATGATGTAAAAATTTAAGTTTAAAAGAAGAGGTTCACGTTTCCCCCAAATGATATGGGCAGGTTTTCTTAGGGTCAGGTGATGATATACTACTTAAACTTTTAAAGAGAATTTTCCTGAGTTTATTATGTTGTAGCCTGCTCCTGGCCTGGCCCACTCCTGCAGTCTCCATGCTGCTCCCCACAGCCTGCGCTCAAGAGCTCTAGCGCCCACCTCCTGTTCTGACAGTTACCCCAAGTTTGCTCATCTGTACTTCCTTTTAAGTGGCCTCAGAACGAAGTCGACATCACCCATCCCTTTCCTGGTACCCTTGCTCACAGTGGCCTGAGCTTCACAGCCAGTGCTTCTTGCTCTACCATGGCTGAGTGGGGGCGTGGCTTCCTACCCCAGAATTTAGGCAGAGGGGTACCCTGGGAGAATTTCTCAGGAAGCCCTATGCTTTCTGCTTCCGTGGAGGGAACTTGCAGCCACTATGAGCTTAGAGTCCTTGGTGTGGTGCTATAGAATAAACACTGGACGGCTAACCACAAAGTTGGCAGCTCAAATCTACCAGCTGCTCCTCAGAAACTCTATACAGGGTTGCTATGAGTCAGAAACGACTTGACAGCACTTAACAACAACAACAATGAACTTGAATAGGAAAAAAACTTGCATGTATACTTTAGTAGAGTCCTAGTGTGTACTGGACCAAATGTTAGGCCTGAACCAGAGGGTTGGCAGTTCAAACTCACAAGCTGCTCCTTGGAAACCTTACACAGGGTTGCTGTGAGTCGGAACTGACTTGATGTCACTCATCAACAACAACAACAACTGGAATTTCCACAGTAGAAAGAAGAGACTTTCTGCTCCCATAAAGATTTGCATTCCTGAAAACCCTATCCAGAGGGTCATTATGGCCAACTTGATGGCACCTAACAACAACTGAAATTTATCACTTCCTTCCATTACAGATATAGGTCACAACCCACTTTAGGGTCAAAGTCCTAGTGTGGCACTGTAGGATAAGCACTATCCTTGGAAACCCTATACAGGGCTGCTATGAGTCTGAAGAATGGCGTGACCTTTTAACTTGAGGGCTGTGCTAGCTCGCCAGGGTCAGAGTAAGAACTACAGCTTTTATACAGTTGGTGTTAGAAAGGGCACAGGGTATTAAAACCAGCTCTGCTGGAATGGTGGCTGTATTGGCCTCATAGAAAGAGTTGGGAAATGTTCTCTATTCTCTTTTTGGAAGAGTTTGTGAAGAATTGGTATTGCCTCTTTAAAAATTTGGTATAATTCATCCGTGAACCCCTCTGAGTATGAACATTTTTTGTGTGAATTGTTTTTTCATTACTAATTCAGTCTCTTTACTTATTATACATTTATTCTGATTGTTTATTTCTTGAGTCAGTTTTATGTATTTTTGTCTTAGGAATTTGTCCATTTCATTTATTCTGATTTATTGGTTTACAGTTGTTCATAGCTTTCCTATTCTTGAAGTATGTCATTCAAAAGTTACATCAATGAAGGTCCTTTTGTAAATTTCCTCTGTAGCTGTAATCTGGGTGTTTATACAAGGGGCTTCAAAAAAGTTGGTACAAAAATGGAATGAAAAGATAATGGAATTTTCCCATGAATTTTTGAAGACCCCTGGACTTATGGTGTGGCGCTGTAGGATCAGTAGTACTGCAAACCACAGGTCAGTAGTTCAAACCCACCAGCTGCTCCTTGGAAACCCTATACAGGGTCATTATGAGTTGGAACTGACTCAACGGCACTTAACAACAACAGTATCTTCTTTATTTTCTTGGTTGTCTCTCTCTCTCTGTCTCTTTCTCTCTCTCAATCTCTCTCTCTCTCTCTCTATATATATATATTTTTTTTTTTTTAATTAAGTGAAGATTTACAGATAAGGTCATCAGCTTTACATTCAGCAAATTATACACTTTGTTTCATCTCAATGGTTACAATTCCTTTCTTGCAACAACAGTTATCCTGCTTCTTCCCTGTGGTTC